TCGAAGTTTGGCGAACACGCGAGTCAGTGAAGAGAGATTTTGTAAAACTTTAATTTATTAACTTCACCTATATAGACAATAACTTCAACCCTTTGTAGCTATAATCGTACAGCTATAACCAGTGGCGCAGCCAGACCTTAATTTTTGTTGGTTTTTTTTTTGTGGGGGGGGTTCGAACAGTCTAGGAGGGTCGGGGGAAATTTTCAAATCTAGGGTCCCTGAATTGCGATTTCAAGCATTTTGGGAGTGAAATTCCGAAGAGTTCAGAAGATTATAAAGTACATCGAAGACATGAATTTTTCCAGACATTTCTACTCGGAATTAAATAAATTGGAAAAGTCACCTTGAGGAGACTAGGAGGAGGGGTCAGTGTCACCTTATTTCCTCTCTGTGATGCTGGGGGGGGGAATCCCTATGTGATTTTGATCGGAAATGTTGCATTTAAATCATTTTCGGTTCTATGAGACACCATTTCCGCATTTCCGCATTCTCAAACTAAATCTATTCTTCTTGGAAACAGCATTTTATTGGATTGTTTGCATAAATCTATCGCTATTATGAAATACTCGGTGAAGAACAATATGAATTACACACAAGATAGCTGTGGAGGAGGCTATGGAAGGGCATAATCTCATTATCAAGTAAATCAACTGCAATTCTGACAGCAATCATGAGCAATTCTGCTTCGCACTTCGGGGGAAGAAATGGCTTTACTGGAGGGGGGCATTCTTTCCCTAGGGGGCAATTGCTCCCTCCCCCCAGATATATAGTTAAAACAGGCACTGATCGAAATAGCAAAATAATTAGATCTTAAAAGCTATTTATTTCTAATTCCTATTCAAATAGAAACTTGTGAGAATTTAGAAAGGGTAAATGTATTTATTTAACTGGTCAAAATTTCCCAGTTTGAGTTAGTTAATTTTAAATTTCTCATCAGTTCATTGAAATTATATTTACAAAAATATTTATAGTCTTTGTGGACTTTGTGGAGGTAGGTATTTTGTCTCTTGACAAAACAGCATTTTTGACAAAACACCAAAACAACTTAGTTGAAACTCATTTCAACTATTTATTACATATTTTATACCTATTTGTCACTATGTTTTAACTATTTCATACATATTTATTAACTATGTCGAAACTATATATTTTTAATAATTTCCTTAAATAGCTCTATTTTTATCATATTTGAAACCTATTTAATTTCTATTCGAGTACATCAATTAAGTATTTGTTTAGAAATATATCATGAATAGGAAAAAAATATGGTTCCACTTGGATAGGAAAAAAATAGCTTTTCTACCCCAATTTAAATAGGAAAAACCTCGAAAAAAAATAATAGTAAAAATAGGAAATAAATACTTTGACAAATAGGAATTAAATAGCCCAATAAAATAGGAATTAAATAGCAATTAAATAGTGTTTGATTCTACAAGGGTGCTTTCCAGTTTAGAGGCCATGCTAACAAATTTGTTAGTTTATAAGAGCATATAACATACATATAAGAGAATAATATATATAATTAAATTAGATACCAGAATATGGGTATTATTTATAGCCAACAGCAAAGCTGTATACTAACAATGCCTAGCCATTGCTTTTGACGTGTTCTTCCTTGAACACGGGTTAAAATAAGTAAGGAATGTTCTTCATATAGGCGTACTGGTAACATTGGCAATAAAAAAATTAAGTTCACTTGAAAGAACTCTTGAAAATATATATTAAATTCTGTTACAGATTGTTTAAATTTTGCTTAGTTTTCAAAATATTTCGACTGAAAAAAGTGAGCAGTTCGCCATCTTGGATCATTGAGGATATGCATGTTACGTCAAGAGAGGGGTCACGCTAATTTTTTATCTTGAGAGTAAGCGATCAATATGAGTCCAATTAAAACTTCGTCTCTGGTTGCTGTCTGAAATTTAGAAATGATTAAAAACATTTGAAAAAAATTTCGGTCACTTTAGAGTAGTTTTATATGGTTAACCAAAGTCCTGAGGTCATCAAAACCATAGTTAAAGGGATATGGCAATAAAAATTAACTTTGTCTTATTTGAAAGTACGATGGAAAATTGTGATCTCTCTTTTATTGTATATTCAGAAAGTATATCAGTAGATAAACAAAGTTACCAAATATCGGCGTCCAATTCCATTTCTTTCTACCTTTTTTTTCAACGCAAACATGCAAATTTTTCGGCCGCCATTACTGAGTTAGATGTCGATTTCTTAGGCGGATGTGACGTCATTTACTCAACACGCTTCTTTCCCGAAGGAGAAATTAATATTATCAAAGGCTTATACTAGGCTGTTTTTTGTTCAAAATTATGTCTTCTGACGAAAGCTACAGCTCCAATTTTGCAACACAATCATCTTGCGAACTCTCTTTTTCCGAAAACGTTTCTTATGATAGCGGGGGTGATATAAATATGGAGAAAAGTGTGGATTTGTGCGAGGCCTATGATACTTCAGTCGAACCTCTTGCCACTGGAGAAACAATACATGAAGAGTACTATAACTGAGAGAGAGCAAAAGCAGCAAACACTGTCTGCTAGATTGTCTGGTGAAACCTCAACTGACACCTGGTACGTTTTGGATTGTATTTATTCACGTTTTGGTTATATTTGTGACATAAAACAAACATGTGATGGCCCTGTAAAACAAAACAAATGGTTACTGATCTCCTTATAAAATGTTATTGTCACTTCCGTTATTGCACGAAACGTCTTCAATGAGAGATGGCTTAAAGATGACTGTGTTGCCAAATTGGAAATCCTACTCACGTAAGAAAACATTAATTTACACAAAGTTGTGGGAAATATACTTCAATTGTATACTTCAATATATATTAATGGTCCATAGGTGTAAATGTGGCAACTGTGTCCTGGCCTTTGTGGTAAAACCCAATGAATGTTGTTGTTTATGTGAACCTTGTAAGGAAAAAATGCTGGAAGAAAACATGCATGACCGCTGCTTAACTGAGCATCCAGCATTTGATATTGGATGTTTGAACCATTGGGTGTTAAAACTTGCTGGTTTAAGTTACAAAACCCAAATAAAAGGCTGCCAAAATTATACCACTCGGTATACCCATAGAAATAATAGACATAGAATGCGTGCTAATGACGAATCATGTCTCCACTTTTTCAGGTGCGTGCCCTTTTGAATGCGCCATTTTGAATTTTGGCCAGGAGTGCAAACTACAAAGTATAAACAAAGCTAAAACTACGTTTTCATCGTCAAAACGTTTTGTCTTGTTGTCTAATTTGTAGTTTGGGGATAGATTTTGAGTTCCTTGAAGGCACAAACTGTCAAAGCAAATGTGCAGTTACAAAACACTATGAAAACAGTGAAAATCGTGCAGCCTTTTAAAAGCAAAGTAGTTTCGCGAAAATATAATTTACTCAAAACATTTTTGCATGCTCTAAACGTAACTGTTTTGCTAATATCTTATAAGATTACAAAATGATAGTTCTTTCTTCGTCGGGTTTCGTTTTTCTGCAATGTAAACGAAGTGTTTTCATGTTCTTGAAACATTTTATAGTTGTCGATAAACTGTAAAATTGCCTAAAAATAATCGTCGAAAACCATGGTTTCAAAAGCGTTGCCTCAAGCTCAAGCAACGTAGAAAAATATGAAATATATAATTGTGTAAGTTTAAAAAGATTATTGAACTCCATTTATATTGTAAAAGAGTTGAAATATTTGTAGAACATACCTATTGAGTTTGTCTTGATCTTTTGTGTTTTGTTTTGGCTTGCACAACAACATAACGTTGAAAATTTATTTTTAAACGACGATTTCTGCATATATTCTGTTCAGAACTATTGCTTTTCGTAAAAAACCCACTGGAATGGGTTTTTAGACACTTTTCCTTAGTTTACCAAACTTTTTTTCCATTTTAAGTCGCGATATAAATTTTTTTGCAAACTTTTCAGTTGAAAAAATAATTCGCACTCCGTGCAACCGCGCGAAATTCCCTGCCTCAGGAGTCTGGGACCAACCAAAATGCCCTTTTCAATGCGCCATTTTGTGGAGACAATTTTTTTACTGAGAAAAGATAGGAGCACGCATTCTATGTCTATTATTTCTATGGGTATACCGAAGGGAAAAAGAGTGAACCAGAGTAAGTATTTCAATGTGTATTCCAATGTGTATTTCTAGGCAATACCCCCCCCCCCCAATGGAAGAGATTTACTTTATGAACCCCCATCCCTCTGGATTTTTCTAACTGTCCCTGAGAACTAATGTTTCCCCCATCCCTATGGAAATTCTGGACAGTTTTTTACTACTAACATACTTTCAAGCATGATGTCAGTGTTTTAAAAAAATAACTCGGCAAGATACAACATTGTTCACATAAACGAGACAGAAACCGTATTTTGGTGTATGCACAGCAAGGAAGGGGGTACCTTGTTGAACTGCTGGTACCGTATAGCCCCAGACAAGCTTCTCTACTTGCTGCTATGAAACTGCCCTAAGAAACCATTCAAAATTTGCTTTAAAATTTAGTACCGTAATCCAAAAACGATACTGTATGTCATTTGTGAGCTGTGTTCTGCACAGAAACACCAGGATTCATGATGCAAGATCCTTGTTTAGCTTACTTATAACTGTGTTATCACTTAGCTATAGACCTTTCATGTTTTCCTGTTCACACGATGGGATGTTTCACTACCTTGCTCATCTTTACAGGGATTCAAACATTACTAAATTCAGAATATGGTACTCAGATCATGACATTGTAACAGTTTGGCTGTCCCTGGCTGATGATAATTTCTTACCACTCATCAATCACCAGAGTAGGGAGAGCTCTTTTTCTCACCCACCTACCTGGTAATAATTAAAGTGTGCATGACATGAATTTTTTGCCTTAATTTTACTGCTCTACTAGAAAGTACCTTTCAAGTGATGAAAAATGGTAGTTACAGTGTTCAGTGTGAACTTCACAGTATTGTCAGTGATGACTGGGGGGAAATTCAAACGAATCAGTCAGTCAGTCATACAGTAAACTTTCCAGGGGGTGTATAGGATTTATGTTCGTAGTGATAATGTACTTAGTGTTTTGAAGGTTATTTAGGCAATTTCAGTTGTCTTATTTCAATATTCTTTAGGCCTTTTGCCAAGTTCACAAAAATTTCGAGGAATCGTTGTCGTTATTGCAAATTTTATAACATTTGCATCTCGTTGGTTTTTGTGTTCACTTATGTAAAGGATCTTTCCCCAGGAACACCCGATTTTTCTTTAGCAGCGCAAATGCGCATGCGCTATCAAGCCGTAGATCAACGATGGCGTGACGATGCTACGAAGGAGCGAAGCAGTGTTGTTTTCAAATATATAAATATTATCGTTAGGGTAGTGCTTATTATTCATTATTTAATCCTGTATAGCTACAGGTATTTTAATTAAAGTTGTCACTGAGACAATAGTCAAATGTAATATGGCCACTAAAAGGATCATGGGAATAATCCTAGTTTTAAATAAGTTTAGCATATCAGTAGTCTCGTGGGATGCTTTTAGGCTTTTAGCGACAGCTGCCAAAGCAAATGTAGTTTTAGAATATGCCAAATTTGGTTGTTGGTGAAACAATTTAAATTTCGAGTTGTTGCGTGTAGCATCTAGAGACGGATTTTCATATTTTCGTTCAGGGGGGGTGGATAAATATCTGGGGAGGGGGGGGGGTGCTGCTGCTTGCTTTGGCCGGGGCGTGGTGGCAATGCCCGGAAAGGCCAAGGAAAAAGTTTAGCAAAATTTGTTTTCTAGGCCTGTATGGCGAGATCTGAGACCATAATATTGGTAATTTTAAAAATTTAGTAGTAAGAATAATTAAATATGAAACTATCAAATCAAAATATTTGTAATTTGCGGGGGTGCCAAATGCCTTTGGGGGGGGGGGGGGCAAATCTTTTTTTTCTGGGGGGTGCGCACCCCCCCCCCCAGATAATCCGTGCCTGGTAGCATCACAATAAATAAATAAATTATATCAGTTCCACGACGCACAACATTTTTGATGTGTTAGCCAGTTGTTTCAAAAGTCTCGCTATTCATGTGCCGAGCACATTAAAAACAATACTGTCAATAGATGAGATAAGATGAAATGCCTTTGGTAACTGTTTATTTTGTAGTGTAAGGCATCAGCTTTTCTAGGTTGTCGGCGACCCTATATAGTTTTTGCAGTGTCTTTTTCAATTTGAAACTTCACACTATCCTTGGATCTCTAGTTTCATATCTCA